GCACGGGGGTCGCGCATGAGACCTATGTGCGAAAGCATTGCAAGCAGGCTATCCTCGGTCGGCTCGTCCAGGAACGCGTTCTGAAGGTGGAACCCGACCTTTTCGTTGATGTATGCGCTATTGAACGTAGCCCACTTGGGGTCGTGACGCATCATCTGATCGCGGACAGCATCAGAGGCGTTGCCTGCGTGTGGTTAGAACCAAGCTATTCTGGGGATGGAAAGAACATACCGTTCGCTGCGTTGGCCGCTCCCCTACGCCAGGCCTTTGGTTCGATCGCGTTTTCTTCTCCAGCATCGAGCGATTGCCGCTCCATATCGTCGTGGAGCTTCTGGTATGGAAGAGGTTGGTACTTCCCCTCTTCGAATTCCTCCTCTACAACGGAGTCGTCATATCGGCGGAAAACGGGCCGCTTAAGCCATTCCTCCTCCCAGCGAAGCGGGGTACACTTGACTGGTCCCAGGTTCTTTACCTGAAACACTTCTCTGACACCGCTGAACTTCGATGCGGCAAAAGCGCGGTGGTGTACGGCTAGGCTGACGATGACGGTGATAAAACAGAAGATCAACCTCCTGGTAGGGGTGAAGAAGAAAATGGTCCTAAAGGAAAGGTCATTAAGTCTGAGACGCTAAAGAGAAGTAGGCGATCACTTACGGCTTCGGCTTGTTGTCTGCCCCTTTGTGGTGCGCTAACTTGATAGACATGGCCAGGCCATCCTCACCAGTTTCCGGGTGACGTACGACCATCAACAGTATGTCATCGTAACAGAGCGCCTTTGGGCGTCCACGACTCTCGCACTCCTGCGAGATGATCTCTTCCAGCAGCCTGGAATGCTCATCAGGCGCCTTGTCTTCGTCGTCAGAGGCACTCCCAGTAGCGTGCCGGGGAAAGAGCTCCTCTAGACACCCGTCCTTGCCGCTCTTTCTCTCGCCGTCCACGAACTCAGCCGGCCGCGCCCCCGTGCAGGCAAGGCCGAGGTAGCACCCCGACAGCTGGACCCGGTGCCCCTCCCAAGAAAAGATGCCCTTGTCGAACTTGACATTAAAGGTCAGGAGGACCAGCAAACTATCTGCGTTCGCGACGTCTTTTCCGCGGGTACATGGCGCTTGTAGGCCGTACCTGTCGACCAAAATGGCATCGTGCCACTTGCAAGGACGTATTAGCTACTGCATCGGTGTGCTGGAGCCTGGGGATGTACCTTTTTGACTTCTTTACTGTCATTCAGGTCCATATAGCGGCCTGTGACACAGGCGTATAGCTGCTTGTACTGGCGGAAATACTCCCACGACGAGCCCCACGATTTGATCCGGTATGTTTGACACAGATATTCGAGGAAATCCATCGCCATCGCTCGGTTTGCGTTCTGGATCACGTCTCGCCAGGCTCCTCCTAACTTGGCGAAATCGCAGTATCTCCAGGTCCGTTAGCCAAATTGCGGATAGAACGGGAGCGAGGCGACCTGTTTACCTCTTCCATTTCCGTAGCATACCAGCATTGTTGATCTTGGTCTTGTCCGCATAGTCGGGCGTGAGGAACTGAGTGTCCTCGAGCTGCTTACGGAGAGCTGCGCGCTGCTCGGCCGTGAGGGCCTCTGGCCGTTTCGCAGTCCGCTTCGTAGCTTCTCGCTGCGTAAAGCGCCGGATGAAATCCGCATTGTAATGCCGGTCTTTAGCGAGCGATTGCGGCGGGCGACGTGCTGGCATGGCGGTGGTGTTGAGCGTCGAGGGCTACCAAATCTGATGACGACGCTCAACGAGCCGGGGACGACGAAGGGCACGAGGGGCGCCATTTTATGTCTTGTTGCGCCGCTGCGCCGCCTTGCCGGGGAGCCAAAAAATGGATGTCAGGTTGAAGAAAACAGTTTCCTGGATTGCGGGAACGACTTCTTTCTCGAAACCAACTGCTCAGGACCGGGACGCTCATTAGAGGGTGATGCAGGTGGGGTCGTGGCCATGCAACATGAATGGATTGGACGGGGGCAGGCCTGTGGTGAGGTACCAAGTACCTCGCTGTGACCAAGCGCGCCGCACTGTCGAGGCACCCGAAAATGGCGGCCTTGCCCTGCCAAATTCGGCGGCTAGAACAGCAAGTTCTGTACTTAATGTGCAGTTTTGTTTTTGGTGGGACGTTCGCTTGTCTGGGATGTTCGCTTGTCTGGGACGTTCGCTTGTCTGGGACGTCCGCTTATCATGTACTCCGTACGTTAGTACTGATTCGATCCAGCCCAGTCCCAGGTTTTCGTTTGGTGCAGCAAGACGGCTTCCACGACACCATAGTTTTTTCACCTTCTTTTTTCCCCGCCCGCTCCTGCCGACTTGGCCGCAGGCCGGCAGCTAAAACAGCGGGGACCTGATTGGATCGGGCGGCTCCGGTCTGGTGTCGACGGTCATCGTCTTGGGACCACGTGAAAGACACGGCGCTTACGGAGTGCTACAGACGGCAACTCCGCCACAAAAAAGCTGATCAAACACGATAGTTATCCGCCGCGCGGCTCTGTATGTGCGCGGCGCAGCTGGTAAGCGCGCACCTGTGAGATCGACACGGCGGGCTTCCCATCTTTCTGGCGCCACGAAAGGAGAATTATGTGGCTCCAGCAGGTCAAAAAAGGGCGGGGGACACTGCAGTTGTTGACCTGCAGCAATGGAATGGAATGCTTACCGCCGGGGCTTGCAGTGATTATTCCGGATCCGGCACTGTCCGCACCGAATTGCAGCCCCTCGGCTGTTCGGGCATGGCACATCAACTTGGCACCCGTTTTGGGGGTTTGGCCTCCACAAATCCAGTCTTACCTGTAAGCTGGAGCCTGGCAGCTGAGCGTTGTGCCACTCTCGGCACAAAAGGAAGGAGGAAGGAAACATGGAACATCATGTGCTCTCAAAAATGTCGAGATGGAACGTGAAGGCGAGTGTTGCGGCCATGAATACTCGAGATCTGAGCCCATCTATTATAAGACGCTGGCAGGTTGAGCACCGAACGATTTCGGCATGCACGTTGGTGTTGTTGGTTCGATGCGGTGGCTCAGCTCCTCGCTTGTTGGTGACGGGCAGCAGCCACTTTGCTGGTTTGATCGCGACATGCTTGCTGTGCCGCAACAGCAAACGTCGAAACACCGTGTGATGCACACTCAAGATGCTGTGCCGTCGAAGCTGTATCCTGCCCCCCAAAAGGCAAGCATCATCCTGCGCCGCTCTGTTTCGAGCTATTTGTCCAATCCCTTCCCCGCCGCCCATGTTCTTTGCAACGTGCTCGACAACCGTTCCCACGGCATTGTGAACGTTCCCCCATCATCCCAACAATGACGATGGCAAAAACACCGACAAGGCAACTCGTGCTGTTGGCGGGTCTGCTTGTCGGCGCCACCAGCGCCCAGACATGCTACAATACATGGGGCCAGGAGGCCGCAGAACTGCAGCCGTGTTCGGCCTCGGGAGCAGCCGAGACGGGCGGGACGACATGGTGCTGCAACAAGGGCGACTACTGCCTCTCCAACGGGCTCTGCCTCAGCCCCGAGTCGAGCAATCTCATGACGCAACAAGGCTGCACCGACCAGAACTGGGGCGGCTCCTGCAACAGGCTGTGCCCGGCGAGTGATGGTATGTGACCCCGTGCCATGGCGCTCCTCAACATGACGAACAGACCAGAGCTGACCTCGCCCAGACCAAGAATTGGCCGAGATTCCCCTGATCCCCTGCCCATCCAGCTTCGACAACGCGACCAACACCATCAAACACTGCTGCGGCCCGGACGCTTCCACCTGCTGCTCGACATCCTCCTCCTGGCTCACCGTCCCCGCGGGCACCATCCTGCCCCTCCCATCATCCACCACCAGCACCACCCAAGCCCAAACCAACACGCTCGACATCGGCCTCGGAATAGGCCTCGGCATCGGCCTCCCCATCCTCCTCGTCCTGCTCGCAGTAGCCTACCTCCTCTCCCGCGTGCCCCTCCACTCCCGCAGCAGCAGCAGCACCAGCAACCACCACAAGCGCAAGCGTAGCAAACCCTCCCCAACCGGCGGCGGCAACGACGGCCTAGGCACCGAAGACGCAAAGACAGAAAAGACATCATCCTCCGAGTACACCACCCAAACCTACCCCCCCCGCCGCCACCGCCACCGCGGCTTCTCCTTCGGCCACCCCTCCTCCTCCGCCGCCGGCCACGACCACGACGGAGTCGACGCCAACGGGCATCATCACAACGTCAACCACCACCACCAATTCCCCTGGCCGCCCCCGCCCCCCGCATTCCTGGGAGCCGGCGGCACGGGACGGGCGGCCGCCATCGCGCGCTGGGCGCGGTCGCCGTTTGGGTTCGGCGGGCTCTCGATGCCGCCCGTCGAGGCGCAGGGCCAGGACCACGCGGAGCCGCCTAGTCCCAAGGAGATGGATGGGCGGGGGAGGGGGGTGGGCGCTGCTGAGGATGCTGCTGCTGCTGCTGCTGCTGCTGCTGCTGCGGGTGGTGCTCATGGTATCGGCGGTGGTCGCGGGATGATGGAGAGGCCGAGTATGAGCCGGTTGGGCGCTGCCGAGCTTGCTGCTTCTTCTACTTGTGAGAGCGGGATTGGGTTTGGAGTGGGGGTGGGAGATGGTCGGAGGGGGTGGAAGGGCCGCGGGAGGGTGGTGGTTGTGGCTGCTGAGGAGGTTGAGCTGCCTACGCCCGACACGCCCGAGACGGATGTTGAGAAGGGAAGGGGGGGTGGTGGTGGGGAGTGGAGGAGGTAATGGGTTGTATACAGCATGACGTGGTGCCACTGCCGACGTGTCAGGGGCAGTCTAGAGCACGGCGCTTCGAGTCCTTCGACGACATATTTCTTGATTATCATGTTAATAAATAACCTTGAAAAGTTGTTAGCCACGAGATAATCTGCAATATCCCCATTCTGCTCCATCCAGAGCCCGGTGAGAGACTTAACCAAGCCACGACTCCAAAAATGGTATCAGGCTCGCCTCTGTTGCAGAGCCAAAAAGCAAGTCGAAGACCTCAGTCGAAGACGGGAATTGAGCCCGACGTGGGGGTCGAACCCACAACCTTGAGATGTGTGAACTCTGGGGAACTTAAGAGTCTCACGCTCTACCGATTGAGCTAGCCGGGCGCCGGCTCGTTGTTGGGGTGGAGGGACCGGAGAAGAGATTTTGAAGGAAATCCTGTTGTTGTGGGTTCCGTAATAAAATGTTTTCTCCCTCGGGACCCACAGGTGGGTCTCAGCGGCGGATCGGCAAGTCCCGTCTTCTTTAACTTACACAGAGGGAACCAAGTGCATCCATAGCTGGCCATTTCAACGCAGGCTGACGGAGAGAAGTCTGAAGGAAGGAGTGTGCTGTGCTGTGCTGTGCTGTGCTGTGCTGTTCGTGTGTTATAGCTGATCAATGGAAACTGGATGCTCTGAGGGCCGACTCAGAGTCTCCATTAACTTGGTGACTTGGTCTACTACGCTCAGCTCTTGCCTTATTTCTCCATGTTATATTCAGATGATTCTCGTCATGATTGGTGTAGCCATTACAGTTGTTCCGTTGCAGAATTCATCCCAAGGAAGTTCCAGGTTGGCTACAAGCCTGCGAAGCCAAGGGCAGAAGCCATCTGTGAATGCTTTCTCTCGGGTTCAAATTCGTTCCTTCGCAGGCCACCTGACAGGCTAATCAAGGGTACATAAATTAATGCTCCTTGGTTCAGCCGTTGTGGTGTGTGAGAACAAAGAGAGCTAGTTGCCTTGAACAACACGAGTAACGAGTTGAACGAGTTGGCTTGGAGACCGCGGGCGTGACCGTGACCGTGACCATGACCATGACCATGACCGCGACCTGAAAAGCATGACGTCGACTGAACTCTGAAGAAGCCGCGAGTAAATCTGGTGAGTTCTCCGGTAAACATTACATCCACTCTATTTACTTGCGAGTTGATTTTTATCAATGCCTCCTCCACTTGGTCAACTTTGAACTCGATAACCACTTGGAGCTCCCCGACCACACCACATCCTCTTCTTGTTGAACATCCGATTATTTCACGTTGTTTACTGCTGCTATCGACCATTCGACTTGAACAATTTGGAAATCGGTGTCCATAAGTACCTACCTACTTCTGTTGTCGCGCAGTTTTTTTCGGCACTGGTCAAACCGATTGCTGCACCTTGGAATCGGCCAAACCTGCGAGATCGACAAGATCGAGCGGGTTCATCAGAGTTACTGTCATCACTACTCAGAGCAGTTGTCAACAGTAAGCAATCATCTCGACGTTAACTTCCTGTCGATTCCATTAGCGCTGACCGATCACTACCTATAGATATCTCTCCATCCATCACCGATTACACACAACCATCATCACAATTCATCTACCTCACATCTCCATCATGGCCGACAACCTGCGAATTCTCCCCGCATCCGTCTTCCAGCGCGACCGGGAGGCGGAGAAGACGGAGCACCTGCAGTGGTACGGCCTGGGCAAGTTGCACCCTACCCACCTTGGTGACACTCTCGACAACGGCCGATACACCATCGTGCACAAGCTGGACCACGACAGCCACTCCCTCTCGTGGCTAGCCCGCGACCACCGCACCAACACCTGGCGGCGCATCGACATCGCGCAGGCCTCCTCCGACATGCACCACGGCGCTCACAGCACCCTCCGCGCCGTCAATGAGCACCTGGCCGAGCGCACCGCCCACGGCCACGAGCACGCTAACGCCCAGGGCCTCGCCGTGGCCAAGTTCACCCTCCACGGCCCCAACGGCGCCCACCTGTGCGTGGTGTTCCCCCTCGAGGACGCCATGAACTGCTTCCGCTGGAGCGTGCGCGACGAGTGCGAGATGAACGCGCGCTGGTTCGTCCGCCAGTGCGCCCAGCTGCGGGCCGAGACACGCGCCGGCGACGCCCCCAAGAGCGTCCACGACATCAGCCGCGCCGAGATGCTGCGGATTCTGGGTCGCCCTAGAGTGCTCCACGTCAATGCGGAGCTGCGCAGCATCGCTGGTGTTGAGGGCTTGGTTCGTCAGGAGCACCTGCCTCGTTATCTTGTCGTGCGCCCCGACAGGATCGTGGATCAGATTGACTTCTGGCTGAGCCCCAAGGCATTCGAGAAGTGAGAGGGAATTGACAGGCAAGCCGGGTAGGAGGAGGGTGATGCCAGATTGTTCTTGCAGTGAACTCTGCACCATGAGCGGCTCGGAGGATAGGATAGGGGCAGAGACTGGGAGAGGCGCATTCCTTCGAGCATCATCGTGTCGTCGGCGGATTTCTGTACACTACGTCAACGTAATGACTCTGACAGCATGGGGCTATGGGGGATAAGAGGCTATTGTAGCCGAGAGTTATGGATGGGCCTGCGATTTAGTAGACAGCGTGGGCAACCAATAAAAAACAGACAGACATACTTACACATCTGGATGTTGCTGCCATCGTGAATGACCGAATTGCAAATTTGCCATCTGGTTGACACCGAAGACAGACACCCGCGACAAAACCACACAGGGTATGACACAACCAGTCACCAGTTCGCATGTAAACCAAGGATACACCATGCTCTCTATGCTCAACAGAAATCCATTCTTCCCTACATCATAATCTCTAACACCGGGTATTCGCTACTCTCGAGCCTGCTCAATCCAGACATGCAGTTTAAGTCAACAATAGTCCCAAGTAAAAGTACGGCAACCACCCCCAGACACCAACAACGACACTCAAGTGGCATTCCGTCCCCTACGTTTCGGTGCGGGTGTCCCATTCCCACTCATCCCCAGCTTCGCGATCCGGGTCCTCCTCGTAGCCATTCCCGACCGGGTCGAAGTGGCAGTTGGCTCCAGCGCCGATGGCCCAGGCGCCGGTTTAGGCAGCGACTTGGCCTTGGTCCTCAAGCTCGGCGCAGCCGTCGTCTCGGCGGCAGGCTTCTCCGCTGCCGGCTTGTCCAAGCCAGCAATTTTTTTAACCGGCGTCGGAGGCGGTAGCCGCGAGGACCTCGTCCGTCTCGTCGGAGCCGGTACCTCGGCCGTTGCAGACGGCGGCGCAACAGCAGCAGCCACGGACCTGACCGCCGCCCTCCGGACCGCCACCCTCGCCGTCTTCTCCACGACCGGCTCTGCCACAACCGGCGGCTCCGCCTCGGCAATCTCGTCCGCCATCATGACATCCGCCAATAACTGGCTTGCCATGCCTCTATACACACTCGGTTCCTCCTCACTCTGGTACCTAACCAATTCCTCCGCCCACCTCACCCCTTTAGCCTTCTTCCTCTTTCCCTCTCCCCCCATCCCACCACCACCCTCCTCGGTACAAGTACCCTCCTCCATAGCCCGGTGCTCCTTGGCCTCAAACACCCCCTTCAGCTCCCTCATCCGCCACGACGGGTCCTCGGCCTGCTTGGCGAGCACCACCTGCGGCGGGACCGCGCCGCCCTTGTTCTTGCGCGTGTTCCCCCGCGTCACCGCCGCGAGGTCCTTTTCCTCGCTGCGCTGCCGCGCCATCGACGCAAGGTGCGCGTCCATTGCCGTGTCGTCCATTGCGCCCATCCCCGGCAGGCGCACGGGGATCATGGAGAGCGCGATCGAGTTCGCCGAGGGCGCCGCTGGTTTCAAGGCAACACGCGCGCTGCGGGCACGTCTGGAGCGGCGCGGACCGGAGCCGGCGCCCGTGGAGGGGAGGGATTCAGAGTCCGGCGACGGGGTTACGCTCTCCCTTTCTAGGACTGGGTCAACGCGCTTGCGGCGGCGCTTGAGGCGGGGCCCGTCGCTGGGCTGGGCGGATGGGTCTTGCGGGGTAGACTTGTCCTTTGTCAGATTGTCTTGGACGAGCTCGTGCTTGCGCTTCTTGGTCGGAGTTGGGCTGTTGGGGCTCTTGACCCCGAGGGGAGTTCTGGTGGCGGGTGTCTCCGATCCTGGCCTAGCCATCGGTGAGCCGGTTGAGGAGGTGATGGACCCGAGGGAACCCGATCGACGAGCTGTCTTCTTTGCGAGCGCGGCGGCGGCTGCTGCTGCCTTGGCGTTCTTATCTGCCGTTACCCGCGTGACAAAATTCCTCAGCATCTCCGTCTCCGAGTCGTCGTGTCTGGCTTGTGGCTGAAGAGTGTCGTTCTCTGGGCGAGCCGCCTCGACGGTGAGCATGTCCTCGTCGATAGCCATGGTGGCTTCGTCATCGTCATCGGCGGGGAGTTCCTCCTCAACTTCATCAGCATCGAGCTCATCAGAGTCGTGGGTTGGTTCAACCTCTTCTTCATCCCGAAGCTGGTTTCTCGGCGGATGATCCGGTGGCAAGCTCTGGCGTTTATTGATCGGAGTGAACCCTGAACTTTCTTCTTGCTTGGGGTCGGCACCCCCAACAGCGTCTGGCGTTACATCCTGGCCCATGGGGCGAGTGGCATGGACAATGGCCGGGGTTCCGGGCAGAGGAGTCGAGACGACTGCGGGAAATGGAGAGCCCGTGCCCTCTGTGGGTTGCTCAGAGAGAAGATCCAACTCGTTGTCTTCAACTGGATGGATGCCTGTGCTATCAGGAGACATCTCTCTCGTTTTGTTAGGCTGCAAACATGGGACCTGTTGCTGGGTCTCGATCGAAGATGCCTGCACGTCATAACGTGGCGAATCAGGAGAGGACAAGGCGGTCACGCCAACGTGGCCGGTCGGCATGTTGGGCAAGGAAGGGTTTGAAGGCGCCGACTCGGCCATGGGTTGCATGTTCGCTGCATTTTGAGATGCATCGACGTCCAACTGAGCAGGATTGACGCTGTCGTCACCGGATCCACGAGTAGAGCGCGTTGCCTCGCCTTGGGCGGATGCTTCATCAATAAGCGCGCCGGGAGTCACCATCTTGCCTTGGGAGCCAGAGGGGTCTTCGTTCAGCTCGGCTGGCGTGTGCGCCTCATCCGCCGAAGACCGAGAGCCGACATCAACGGCGGGCAGGGGCGCGGTCTCGCTGGCGCCAGCAGGGCTTAAAAGCGGATCCTGCAGTACCGACACTTCTTCGTAGATGGTCGACAGGCCTTCGGGATCGTGCGGTTCAAATATGATTTCGGACGCGTCTGTTTCGGGTGAGACCGTCGACGTAGGGAAGAAGTCGTGGTCAGGCTGGGTGCGAGAGGCAGTTGGGCTCGCTGCTGCCTGCCGGAAGCTTG